TCTTCACTTTTGCTTATCCCTTCCCTTCTTCTACTCCTTCCCGCCCTCTTCGTAAACGTACGTTGCGCTCATTTTCACGCTTGGAGCATCAACAATTTTTCACCAAAGTTAAACACAACTCCCACACACTGCACATGCACGCGCCACGTATGGAAGAAAACACGAAGGGAAAGTTGAAATTTCGCCATAGGAAAAGTATATTAAATGCACGCTACTTACCGTAAGAGTAGCCTGCTTCTCGACTTTAACTAGCTGCGCCGCCAGCGATGGCGCTGGCGTTTCTCACTTAAACGCATTAGTATATGTGCGAGTGATTGCAGAAACGTGGACCCCCATAATAGTTTTTGATTAGCAGCTGATGGTATGGTTTTGCCGATTTTGCACGTCCTTGGCTTCTGCATAATATTATTGGTGACGCACGCACCAAAGCACGTACACACGCACAAGCACGGGCGCACGCACCTATATACATACGTACACGTATTTATATAGACCCGTGTGAGTGCATGTGCGTGTGAGCCCGTGCGTATGTACAAATGGATAGACAGACAGAAAGCGACGAATATTTCAAAACTAATGAATAAATAAAATCGAGAACATTATGTCATTGCGGGTTTAAAAAGCAAAAACTTAAAATTACAAATAAATTAAACACTATTGTTTTCACTATTGTTTAAATTTACATACATTATTAATATTAAATAACTTCTTCCATCCATTGCTCCTTATTTTCTATGTACAATAGATAGAAAAATTAATAGAACAACAACAAAAGAGGGTTATTTTTAATCGTATTAAGATATACTATTTTTATTCTAGATGTAATGTTAAAATTTTTTAATTTATCAAATATTAATTTCAGACATTGGAAAACGATAATAAAAAAAAAAAAAATAAAAGAAAAAGAAGAAAAAAAACATTCGTAATATATAAATGAGCCTTATGAAGCGAAATATATATTCCGAAATATAATATACATACCTTCGGTAATTTATCGTATAATAACAATAATCGTTCATGAGTTTCTCTGTGTGTCTTCATCAGTATGATTTGGAAGAAAAAAATACTTATGATTTCGTGGAAATAATCAATTTTATTTAATTGGAAAAGTTGTCATAAAACAGTAAAATTTCAGCTACAAGACTTCACAATTGAAAGATACATTTTGCAAAAGCAAATATTTACAAAACAAAATCAAACAATTAATCACGTGGCAGTTATTTAAACACTAAGATCGATCATGAGGCAATGGATGAGTGATAGCAATAATTGCCCGATATAATTACTAAGCCGGAAATACGTATATCGATTGCTCACAAACGTCTCGTAAGCTGTAACCCAATCGATATTTATAATAAATTAGCAAGCATTAAGGAATAATGAATATAAAGGATCACAAAAAAATGCACATTTTTTTTTTAACCCGTTCGCTTCAACGACTCGTCGAGCGAACGGAAATCACTCGAAGGCAACGAACACTTTTCCTTATGCGTCGCGCGCAAAACGTACATTATCGCTATCAACACTTCAACTAGCATAACCAGATATAATAATTACGAATTAAAAAAGGCTTTCGCATTCTCCATATTTATATCACTTGCACGCTTACGCAAGGAAAATAATAAAAAATAAGGAACACATGTACGCATAAGACTATGCGCGAATCAGTATATTAAATCGCTGCTCGTTCATTTTATTCTCGACGCATTCGTCCAACGATTCGCAAATCTGACCCAATAGGACGTGGGCACATGCGCAAGATCGCTCTTGCAAAGTCTAATGCAAAGTGACAGCTCTTAAAGAAGGAGAGCCATCACCGTTAAATTCTGCTGGATTCGACGGTCAAATGACTCCCGCTCGCGATCTCTCTCTCTCTCTCTCTCTCTCTCTCTCTCTCTCTATCTATCTATCTCTCTCCCTCACTCTCTCACTCTCACTCTCACTCTCACTCACTCCCTCTCTCACTCACTCACTCACTCACTCACTCACTCACTCATTCTCACTCATTCTTTCACTCTTTCTCGCACATCCCAGGTACTCGCGCAGGCTTATACGCACGCGTGAATACACACACGCACACACACTCGCTCGCTCCTTTGATCGTCCGTATTGTAATATTCGTAATATAGCTAAGCCAGAAAAAAAAAAAGAAAAAAAGAGTAAAAACTAATGAGAGCAATGCTCCATTAATCTCGAATGTGTCGTATCACTGAACTCAGTAAAACTGAAGTGGAAAACCGTCGGAAGGCTAAGCGCGAATTAATACTCGAGCGTGTGTGCGCGCGCGCGCGGAAAAAATTGAAAAGCGCGCACATCCGCTACTACCGTCGTACGCGTAACTGCGTATGTCTCGTTAGTGAGGTTAATCAGTCGAAAGAGGTCGATAGACGCGAGGAACTAACTCGCTCGCCAATTCGCGAACGAGAATCTAGGCACGTAACTCGCGCAAGCAAGGACTCGCTTCCTTCCGGTTTCTCTCTCTCTCTCTCTCTCTCTCTCTCTCTCAGTCATTCTCTCATTCTCTCATTCTCTCATTCTCTCACGTCTCGGCACCGTTTATCCATCATTTTCTCGTTCGGTTGCTGATTTCTTTCCTCCCTTCCGTCCATTTTCTTTGCATTCCCGCGAAAAGTTTCATTACACTGAGTAAAAAGATTTGATAATCAATCTACGATGGTAAATTAAAAATTAATCGAATTGTTTCGTACATGTAGTGGCTGCTCAATTATAACTGACATTTTCTTCGAAATTATCGTAATATTATATCGTATTGGCTTAATTATTTATGACAAATTAATCAATATGAGCTGTGCGGTGCGAGTAACGTGGCCCTTCCGAGATTATAACTATTTGTAATGTGCTGCCTCTCATAATGCTTTCCTTATCTAATCAACGTACAGATGAAACAGTTAAAGGCTTAGGGATATATTTTCATTTAGAGAAGCCTTCGTGCAAATTTTAACGAATAAAAATATTAAATTCTTTACATCAACAAATCGACAATTTATTTTCATATACATTCTCTGCGCTTAGGCCAATTTAAGTTTATTGTATGAGAAAATCTTTAAGAAATACAAACAAACGTCCTTTAGTGACTTTTCTCTTATCTAAGTTATTTATTACAGTAAGTACAAATGTTTTTCTGGCTACTTAATCATTCAAACGCCCCCTCATTATTATTATTATTAATATTAAAATAAAGCGTAGTACACAATAAGACTAACAGCTAAACAAAATAATTCTAATTTAAATATAAAGCTATCCTGCCAAATAAATAAAAGTAAATTACAACAAGGAAATAAGTTTTTAAATCATTCAATGCTTACGTGAATGATTGGTAATAAAAAATACGAATAGCCACATTACTCGCAACGATCATTTAACTATAAATTACAGTAACACACGTTTTAAAAAGTATTTATTACGTGAAAACTTCAACTTACAATTCTCTTAATTTTATAGAATGTATCAAAATTTATTTATTCAACTATAAATTTATATGAAGAATATTTCATACCTTTAATAATCTGCTCTTAAAACGTAGAATAAGAAATTATGAAAATATGATATTAAATTTCATTAGGTAAATTTATTATATTTATTGTACTTTTGTAAATAATTGAGAGTGGAAAAAATACCCGAGACCTTTGCATATTCAAATTAACTCAAGTCTGTATTAATTTATAATAATTGAATGAATAATTGAGGACAGAGATAGACTTTTTCAGGTGCAAAGTTATACTTTCATTACACTCTTCGTCAACTTGAATTTCAGATAAATCTTCATTTAGTGAGTTTCCTAATTTTTGCAACACAAGTTACATGTATCTCACTTTTCTAACTACGCAGAACTTACAAAACTACTTCGGCCAATATTTTGGCTTCTATTCCGAAACTAATGAGAGAGGAAAAAGAAACGAGAAAAAAAATAAATCATGAATACGAACTAATAGAATTTATAAAGCGAATACTTACAATCGTAATTAATCACCATCACAAATTATGAAATTTACATTTCAATTGAAATAAAAAGCTAAGCTAATTAAGTCTTACAATCGAAAGTGAGTGTACTACAAATTTGAGATGCTTAACTATGGTTGCCCGCTGTATTTACAAACCGATTCTAGCAATCCCGAGAAATAATAATAATAACTGATATTAATAACTAATAAAAATAATTAATAATAGAAATAGAAATAGTAATGGTATTAATAATAGTAGTAGAAGTAGTAGTAGTAGTAGTAGTAGTAGTAGTAGTAGTAGTAGTAGTAGTAGTAGTAGTAGTAGTAGTAGTAGTAGTAGTAGTAGTAGTAGTAGTAGTAGTAGTAGTAGTAGTAGTAGTAGTAGTAGTAGTAGTAGTAGTAGTAGTAGTAGTAGTAGTAGTAGTAGTATTAATAATAATAATAATAATAATAATAATAATAATAATAATAATAATAATAATAATAATAATAATAATAGTAGTAGTAGTGTAGTAGTAGTAGTAGTAGTAGTAGTAATAGTAGTAGCTTACTTAGGTATCTGACTACCCATAATTCGTCCGCTAAATTTTCTACCATTTCCCTACCAAAAAATCCGCAATAATATCCAATGCTCGTTAAACGCTATTAATTTCAACGTAAAGTACTATTAATCTCAGCAGTTGTAAATAATGATCGACAATAAGCTTTACACATTGGCGAGGCTCTCGAGAGCGATCGGGAATGCCAGGCGCTCGATAATCCGGGGATTTTCCTAGCTTTTTCACGAGATCCATAATCGTCTTATACACCCGTGATTATCGCGCCTATGAGTCGAGCATTGAAATTTCTTCGACGACGATGGGCCGTTTCCGCCCAGGACGGCGTTCTCGCGCGGATATTAGTAGAGGCGCAGGAGCCGCGCGCGCACACGCAGAGTTCGAATCGATCGCAGTCGGCAGAGTCATCGGGGGGCGTTGGATTGGCGTTGGATCGTCGCTGGATTGTCGTTAGCCAGTCCGTCGGCCCAGCGCCTCATCATCAGGGCGCCGATGCAGCGGCGGCAGCAGCGGCGGCGGCAGCGGCGGTGGCAGCGGCGGTGGCAGCAGCGGTACCAGCGGAGGTGGTGGCGGCAGCCCCGGTGGCAGTGGCCGTGGTGGTGGCCGTGGCGTTGGCGACCGCGGTGGCGACGGCGGCGGAAGCGGTAGCATTGCCGGCTGGCTGCGGGACTCCGGCGGAGGACGTCAGCGGGAACTGGAGGGGCGATGGCCCGCTCGAGGATAATCCCGGGGGCGCCGCGTAGGGGTTGCCACAAAGTTGGTCGGCAATCCGTCCACCTTCCCGTAGGCCGCTCAGGAAGGCCCCGTGGACCGTCGCCGGATAATTTCGTATCGTGTGCTCACCTGCGCAGGCGTTATATATCGTTTTTATAGGACTGATAATGGCCGAGATGAGATGAGGGCCCGAGACGCGATGTTAATCGGAAAATGACAGTGATCGAGAGACTTGTAATTGTCGGCTGTTTAATCGCTGCGCTTTCTTTATTTGGTTTTGGAAAGCTTGTCGGGCAGCTTTAAGCCTCTTTTTTCTGTTTTTCCCTTTTTTCTTTTTGCTTTTTGTTTTTATTTTATAAAATAAAAGGTTAACCTTACTTGACTGTATACTTTATCAGTAGCTGATATTTTTAAACTTTTAAAATCATCTTTCACTTTTTCAAATGTAACAATTTTTGCCTTATGGAATATTCTTTTCGTTTCATTCTCTGTCAAATTTTCTTCTCATTATTATTATTTCTTTCGATTAATGATCAACTCGAGCTGCTCTTTATAAACATCATCATTATATACGTAATAAATCAAAATCTGTGTAAATTAATTATTACAAGACCTTAAACCATTCTTTCATCAACAGCGTAATTGGCCAAGTAAAGTTCCCTTTTTTTACGGACTATTTTCAACATGACAAAATGCACTAAACGTGCACGATTTTAATCGTATTTTAAAATAATTTTATTTCTTTAATTCTGAGTAATTAATGATGAAAAGTAATTGTAAAGGTATGCATTATCGCTCTCGGATTTAATCGTGTTCCGTGCCCTCAAGCGAAATATACACGAATTTAAAAGGAAATAGAAAGACAAAAAAAAAAAAAAAAAAAAAAAAAAAAAAAAAAAAAAAAAAAAAAAAATTTCAAAAACGGAAAAAAAATTTATTAC